TCGTGCGATATTTTTGCCAATTTCGCGAACGCGAACGAGCGGCAATCTCGCAATTTGCGAAACGCTGAAACGCGCCGAGCACGACCCGCTTCGTACTCGGAGGAACCTAGCCAACGATGTCTCGCGTGTTCGCGCTCCTGCTTCTTCCAACCATCGCGTAAATATCGGAAATTACCGCTACGCGTTTTTGCGAATCTACCCGATGCTCCCGTGGCCGGAAAGAAATTGCTCGCGCGGAGAAAAACGCGCGATCAGGGCACGGAAGCGTGTGTGCCCGGTCGCCACGCCTGGAATCCTGCTAGAGATATTTGCGCCACTACGCGCTGATGATTCGCGATGTATGCGAGCCCTTGCACGACCACGGCACGAGCACAATGCGCAGAATTTAGAAGTACAATAATCCGTTAAGTTAAGAAGCAAGCAAGTACTCGATCCGGTGTGGCTGGAGAGCGCTGCAAACGGGGGCCCCCTTTTGCAACTTCCTTCGCAACGCGCACTCGAGGTTAAGCATTTTTTTTCAAATCCTTCGAAATTCCCCAGGCGACACGGAGTAATTGCAATTTGAGGGATCCAACGGCTTTTCGAGACTCGCGCTACTTAACGCGTTGGGAAACGGCGTTGGCGTGAATGAGGATGCGAGTTACATGATCAGCAAACCTTTCCACGCGGACAAGTCGCGAGTCGATGACGAGATGCTGTTGCTACGTGAATATTTTCCCACGGTTTTCCCGCGTCTAATCCGCCTTTGCGACATTTCGCCAAGTGCTCGTTCCTCCGCGTGTTAGGAACAAGGATCGACCGAGACGAATTAAAAATTCCCGATAATAATTCGAGAAGAAGCAAACGCGAGCAAATTGATCGTTGCAGATTTCCCGCGAAGGCACGTCTCGAGAAACAGCACGCCTGGATATGGACAATAATTTCTTAATACAAGGAACAAACGAATGGGACTGGAAATGAAGAGGCTGTTCTTACGCTTCTCCTTAGCTGAAGAGAAGAAACGCAGGAACTCCGAGATATTTTACCGAAACAAAGCTCCGAGCACAAAACCTTCCTCTTTCTCAGCCTGCTTTTTGCTCCTCGCGCTGCAAGAAGATGCGCGAGCTTTTCGCCGATAAAAAGACTATCTCAGCATCGGTATTATGCTTCTTTCGAATTATTGCTGACAAATGTTAGACGGGCATAAATGTACGCGTATCGTGGTGCTTTTCATCCGAAAATGCGAGTGATATCAATTTTCGAGCAAACATTTTCCTTCCTCTCTCATTTCGCCCTCGACTCTCTTGCTCCCTTGCTCGGTTCATCTTCAACCAACTCTTTCTTAACGATTTCGCATTAAAATCCGAGAGAATCGAATGGATTCGAGATTGAAAGCATCGTCGAAACTTTTGCCAAGATTTTCCTCGGGAAATTAAGCCCACGCTTCCGACGAATACGAAGGAGAATTGAAATTTTACGCAACTATCGCGAAAATTGACAATTTGAACGATGCAATTTCTCTCTGCCGCAGTTCCGCTCGCGGAGATTTCGAAATCTCTCGCGAGAACGCGACGTGGAACGAAATAACAAACGCGAAAGAGGAACCGCGAAAACGAGAGAGGTTGCAAGACGTCGAGGACGAAGAAAGAAGACGCGCAGATGGATAGATAGAAGCACAGAGGGAGAAAGAGAACAGGGGGCGAAGGAAAAGCCTGGTTTTCGGAAAATAGCTCAATTTCGAGCGCGGATCCGACCACGGGGCTCAGTAGTCTTTCGAAAAAATTCCCTCCGACACTATCGGGAAACTCGCCGGCGAAGATCATGAGTTTCCACACCCTCTCCGTGTTCCTACGGTCGCACCACCCCCGCCGCGACGTCCGCCACCACCATCAACGCCACCAATACCACCACCATCCTTCTCAAGTGGAATTGGCGGTGTTGAGCGTCGCGAAAGGCATCCGAGGAGAGTAGACCTTAAGTCGGACGGCCTTAAGGGCGTGTTTCCCCTGTCTGCTGTGGACGGGTTGAGTGATAAATCGATTTACGTCCTAGCCAATGAGGGTTGAAAGTGGTGCTTTCTGATTGGCCCGTTCTCAGACCACTCCCACTTCGTTAATAAAGGTTCCGAACGAAAGCCAGTTTCACCGTGCCACAATTTTTCTCCAAGGATCCTTGCTCCAACTTGGCAAACATCGGGGATTCCGAGTCGCTGAGAGGACTTTCTTACGAACACGTTCGATCGTACTCGTACTCTTTCGACCGTGTATCGTTCACGGGGAACGAAACAGGGTTGGACTAGTTGACGGATAGATCGTAACGGAGCATGCAACATACCGATCGTGAGATCGACGTACACGAGCGGGGGTTAACTTTCCGAACGTTTCGATCGAAACATCACCCCTGTCGCGGATAATTATATTCGGCAAGCCGGAAAACGACGTAGTCGATGGAAATAAAATTTCAGAGATCGGAGAGTAAACATCGATGGACCAACGACGTTGACCATCGGCGACATCGAGATCAGAGCATAGTCGGTGGAAAGAGCGGCAGGAGAGGCGAGATCGCGGCAGGACGTTGGCCAGAGCTAGGAAGAATCGTGGTATCATAGCGACTGGAGTTGCAAGTTCCAGATCGTGGTCTTTTCGCTGTGGTAAACCGGTCTGTCGTAGGCGTAGCCGGTTGAGGCGTTGACACCGGTAGACCCCACCTTCTCGTTGGTAACTAGGGCTATGTCTACCCGGCTGGCCGTCTCAAAAAACCGACCAATCCGCGATGCGAGACGGCCACTGTCGGCGCGTAAAGTAGCGGAGGCGCCTTTGTTGCGAGGGGTCGACGAGTGCTGAAAAGAAGGGCCGAGAGTGGGGCTGTATATGCAACGGGCAGAAAGGGTGGCTGGCGGTGAGGAAGGGGAAGGGATGGTTGTCGGGAGAAAGAGAGGGCGAGAGAGGACGCGAGAGAGCGCGAGAGGGAGAGAAAGCGAGAGGGTGGCGGAGAGCGGGCGAGGAAGAGCGAGAGAGAAGATGGAGGGGGCAAGCGGCGTCGGAGGGGGTGTGTGGGTCGGGTAAACGCCACCCTCCGCGAGAGGGTACGTGTGTGGGTGCGTGTGCGGAGCACAGCCGCCCCCGGGGGTTTCCCTTCTTCGTTGGCTGCCGCGCAGTCGAGCAACCCTGTGCTGCTCGGCAGCTCAGTTGCCCATCGCCGCGACGACGACACGGTTGCGCCACGACGACAGTCAGAGGCTAGCGTACCGGGACTACCCCGAGAAGTAAACACGTTGCTTCCCTTATCTGGCACATCGAGTTTGCTTCGAGTTCGGGTCGAGTTGCGAGGGAACTACGAGGAGTCTACGAGGAGGGCCAGCCGTGGAGCACGACGGCCGCACCAGTGGGAGCTCGCCACGCGAATCCGCGTAGTTTCAGTACTGGTCCGATCCTCTCGGGTAATCGTGGTGGTTGGTGCGCTGTCAGTGATCTGGCGCCCGTGAATCCGACGGTCCTCGAGACCATCTCAGTGCACGATCTTGGAAGAAACAGGAGGGAACTGGGCGAGAGAAGCTGCGAGTAGCGGGAGTATCCCGAGTGTCGGACGCTGGCGACGAAAATTATGGAAAAGGAAACGCGATCGGTCGGCGAATATTGTCCGTGATCGCTGGAAGAGGATCGACCGGTTCGACGATCATCGTCCGGTTTATCTCGTATGAAGTACCGGACGAGAGAGTCTCGGTGCACGAGTGCCTTTTCAATCGAGCAAAGGATATAGCAGAGGCGAGGAAGACTCTGTTGTCCTTGAAATTCGATCCCCGCGCGAGGAGAATGAAAGAAAGCGGTTCCAGGAATTTCCATGCTCATCGCTGAGGTCCAGGGAGAGTTTTGTTCGGTGGCAAGAAACGATGAATAAGCCCATCACGCGCTGCTATCCGAAACTTGAATAGAATTCCCGAACGTATAAGATAAGGTTCTAATTGTCCTCGAACGAGTTCGGTTTAGCGGAACGACTCTATCCCGGTTGGTTGGGCCCGACGAGGAGCGATGAACGCAGGAATCCGTACCTGATCACAACGAAACCATCATTCAACGAAAAGACTAGACTAGCAAGTGTGAGGTTAAACGCGTAGTTTCTAGACGATATTACAGATGTGTTAAAAGTGCGAATCGAAGAGAAGAGGAGCCAATTCGTTTGCCGAGTCGTCGCTCGGGTTGCCGTCGCTCGCTGCAAGCTGTGCCCGGAGTTACCTCGCTCCACGCGGATCGCCCGCTTCCACCAAGTTTACAACGAAGATAAGTCGAAAACACGTCACAGTAAGCACTCTATTAATCCTCCACGGTGCACGAACGTTCATTTTCCACGGATTTCCGGCGATGGAGATCTATGAAAACACTTAGGACCGCTGACGAGTCCATCGGTCGGGTCCTCCGCTTTCGTACAAACAGATAATACGTATATTTTTGCGAAATCAACCGGACTGCTCGATCGGCGACAGCTACGTAGCAGGCCTATAGTAAAAATCAGCTTCCGGTGATCCTCGAGCCGCGGTAAACGTACCGCGAACGATGCGACTGCGCGCCGTAAACCGTCGGACCTCGAGTAAGCGTTATGCCAAGGCCTAGCCACGATAATAGCATTGTTCTTTTTTATTCGTTCGCTCGACTACGCGGAGACGGATCGGTTGCACGATTTTTTGATCGTCCGTGAAGCATCGAGCACGATTCGTACAGAGCCCAACGAAATCAGCCTTTCTCTTTCGAGAATCCGCGACAACGAGAGATCGCTTGCAAACAAAAGTTCCTAGGAATCGAGGCGTGATCTCGAGGCGAAAGAGCAACGACAAACAATCGAAACTCGTGTAGCACACACGGGTACGCAGTGTGGGCTGTCCACCGGCGAAAAACAACGACGATCTTCTCGAAACTTCTTCTCTCTGTCAACGAGATGCACCACTGATCGGAGAGTGGCAGGGTGAAAACGCGAAGAATCGAGAAACGTACGGGATTAACGATAACTCGCTAAGAGGAAGAATGTCGTTTTGAGTTGTCGGATAGTAATCGAGAAAAAACGCAAAGATGCCGCAGCGATCGCCGTTCGCGATCCAGGAGCTGCTGGGGCTGAACGGTACCGGAAACGGAAGCGGTACCGATCGCGGCTCACCCCAAGGATCACCGCCGGCCGGCGTCTCGGCCGTTTCCTACGCGCCTACGGCGCCTCATCACAAGCTATGGGACTACATGCCTAGCCTGACGAATCATCTGGGCAATCTGGGGAATCTTGGGAATCTGGGCAACCTCACGGCCTCGCGGATGGCCTATCTGAATGCGCAGGCGGCCGTCGCGGCTGCCTTCCTGCCGCCGCCCCACCCCCACCCTGCGCACCACGTACCGCATCATCAGGTACATCAACCGGGACAACTTCCGGCCTCACCGGCCGGTGTCAACGTGCATCCGGGTGCACACGCGCAGCACGTACTTCCGGGTACCGCAGTCACCGCGAACCATCATCAGCACAGTCCGACTCAGCACACGCCACCCCATGGTGAGTTGATCCTTACTATGATTTCTTTCGTAGTCCTAGTATCGCGTCACGGATGCCGAAGGATGTCGAAGGTTAGCCATCGTCCCATCCTTTCAGTCGACTCGGCTAATTAGCCTCGAGTCTCGTTCAGCCGACGATATACCACCGATCCTGAGAATCGAGTCGTCGATACCCTTCCTTATCCTTCGATAGAGATTCCGTTCAACGTTTACGCGCGCAAATAAATTGCATCGTTAGTATCGAACGTTGCACGGAGCATTATTAACGTTCTCCTGGAAGAAATCTGCGTAGCTGTTCCATGGGAAAGCGCTTCCGTCGCGAATTTCTCATTGCTTATTTCCAACGAACCTGGACGAATGGCGTTCTGCCGCGTGGCGAGCGTAATGCGTCATTATCATTAAAACTCGCCCCGTTTATTTATAGATGACGATTAAGATGACATTGTTTCCGTCACATCGTTCCGCTCGCGAGGCGTGGCCCATTGTGCTTCGACAATTATAACCGTACCATTTATTCCACGAATGGAGCCTCTAACTGTTTCTTTCATTCCGCGGGGGAGGGCGACGGGGGCGGGGAAAGAATTGATAATTAATTTTACACAAACCGTGCGCGTATTGTGGCCGGGTAACAAGCAACCACTTCATTCAATCTTAACACGTTCGTTAAGACCTACATCTTAGCGAGGCAGTCCGCAGAAACGACGGATACCGTTGAACGGAACAAGGATCGCGTCTCGCCGCTACCCCCGTCGTTAGCTGCTCTCTCGCACCTAGACGCGAATTTTACAATAAAAGTGACCTGAACTTTGGAACGAAAGGACGGGAACGCGTTTGCTACGCTGCTATACAAGCCGCACTTCCTTTTAACAAGTTGCTCCTTACACGCTCTAAGCGGCGGCCAGGGTGGAAGAAAGAGGCGAGAAACCAATTAAAACGCAGCCTCGATCCTAGCCATTGATTCCTGCCGTGTTAACGAACGTTGCAACGCGTTTATCAAGCGCGAGACGTCGATTCATTCGCCCACGAGCATCGATACGTCGTAATAAAGCATTGATCGGCAATCATCGGGATTGCGTTTCAATCTCTTAGACAAGGATGAACCCGCGACCCTCCCGTGTCACGGACGTTGAAGTAAATTAATAGGCGTATCGTCGTCCCGCCGTGAAACGAGCACTTAACGTGCCACTTACGGCTATCACTTAACAGAGAGCCACTCAAGATCGTGTTACCGAAAATCGACGAGCCTCCCGCACCTATCGGTCCACGCGCCAACTCCATCGCGTTTGCCGGTTTTCGCTCGCTTTCGTGCAAACCTGCGAGCCCTCTCGGCCCAGCTGACCCGGGGCTTCACGCCTCGTCGAATCGTCTCGTCGATTTATGTACAAACATACTCGAGTCGTTTGACCAGCTGCGACGCGACATCGAGCTCGGCCAGCGTGGCCAGAGTGGAAGATACTCGAGGATCCAGCTTTTTCTCCAACGCGATCGCGACGAGCCTCCGACCAGAGGAGAAGAATTGCTGGCTGCTTTTCGACGGATTAGCGTCAGATACGTTAGATGAGTCGGAGAGAAAGAATAAGGCAAAGAAAGAGGGTAGTACTGGGGTGAGTGTACTGTGGGAATTGAATATTTTTGTTAGAATAATCCCCAACGTTATGAATAATTAGTGGTATAATGAGTTGAGTGTTGGGCAGACCTGCAATGTCTCACCAAAACACAAAGGACCTGGACAAAACGTAAAAATGGCCGCACTCCCGCAAACTGTTCTCAACCTCCATGGACTAACCCTCGGTTCCGTTTGCCACGGAATCCTTTCTTCTTAATTACGCAATCGTCAGAATTCGACTACTTGTATCGCGAATCGTCGCGAAATGAGAATAAAACCGCCACTCGCGTTCTTGAATCGCTTAAAACGATTTCATTCGCTAATCGATCGACTCGGAATACTCTCGATCGAATTTATTTCTCGAAACCTCGGGGCTAAAACGTATCCGATGAGATCGTATCGTTTGACAACGGGGTATCGCTATCGTTGGACGGAAAGAGCGAGTTTTCGCGAAGTAAAATGGTATCGAGACGGTAATAAGACGGTGTCTCGAACAGAGCTCGTGGAGTTTATCCGTATAACGAATTTTTTGAGAACGATTTTCGGGTGTCGGGTTCCCGGTGCAGCACAAAGGATCTGCCCTTCCATTCAAACGTCACTCTAGCACCTCGTCTTACAGTACAGCATTTATTTGGCGCACTTCATTCGTTCCTTTTTGTCTTAAATCTTGGGCAGACTTAAAGACGAGAGCACAGACCAGCCAACCGCTCGATTTGTCCCCGATAATAATTATATCGATCGTCGTGAGATCGATTGGACGTCGCGACGTTGGAAATTTCGCAGGATCTGTCACGTGGAACGACTCTGTAAGGCTGTTTCGCTCGCTCGACGATCGAGAATCTTTTGTTCCATCGGCATAATGGATCCCCGAGCACGAAAATTCGAGACTGGGAGACCGGTCGTCGTTCGTGGGCTTTACGAAAATCGAAAATTTCCAACTCTTCGCGCCGCACGATGGCACGGTGTAAGCTGCCCCTGAACTCGAACCTGAATCCTACCGGTAGAAGGGAAAGTAGTGCTCGCGGAATACGGCTATCTACGGGATGGAACGTACAAACGCGTAAGAAATTTCTAATACCGGCCCGAGTATACGTACCGAGATAAATTAGGGAATAAATAGGCGATAGCGCGAGGCGACGAATGCTCGGGGTTGGTGTAAATAGCGTATGATCGATTCGCTTGGCACCGCGTTAATCGGTAGCAGGAAGGGAAGAGGGTCGGAATGCAGGAACTGTGCGGATCGCATTGTCTAAAAATTCCGAGATTCGCGCCGGTTCGTGTCGAGGCTTTGCCTTTCCAGCGGCTTGTACAGGAGCTCGTCTCTCCTCTCGCTCCGCTTTTTTCGGTTCGTTTGAAGTTGGCAATCAACTAGATTGCCTATCAACGCCTGAGAAGTCTCCTTGCACACTCCCGTCGGTCCACTCCTTTTCTTGCTCCCGCACTCTCTCTCTCTCACTCTCTCTCTCTCTCTCTCCCTCTCTCCCTCTCTCCTTCTCTATCTATCTTCCTCTCCTTCTCTATTGCACCCTCACACACGGCCACGCGACAACGTTGTTCTTCGTTTATTCCCTCCACGCTGCGTGCTCGTTTCCTCCCGCAGCGATCTTGCGCGCTTTCGGAGCGGCGCCTCGCTTCTTCCCCTTTCTACCTCTTTCTCCTACTTTCTCCCGGGCCTCCTTCTTCTTCTTCCCACCTTTTGCCCTTCTTTTGCCCAGCCAGGTCCTTTCTCACACGCTTCGGATCGTCCTGGTAACACATCTCCGCGAACGATTCCGCAAAACGTGGCGCAATCGGTCCTCCATTGTTCCCGTGTACCCCTTTCATTCGAGGGACTGGGAAAGCGTACCGGGTTCTTACGCCGTTCCCGTTCGGAGGATTCCCGATTGTAATCGTTGACCATTATTTTCTACCGCGAGGGATCGGACGGGAGAATTTTACCGGATCGAAAAGTATCCCAAGATGGCGTGGTTGACCGCGCATAGAGTCGAATCCGTGATCGAATTCCACGAGTTTACGTGCTCGGGAATCGCGCAGGATCGCGAACGTCGGCGAGGTCGAGCTCGGTGAGAAACGATCCCGGGATCGGGAGCTGCGGATGAACTCGTAATCGACGAATAGTCGCGGAGGATTGACCAGGTTTCGCGAGGATTCGCGAGTCGATCCGTCACGCCTCTGACGGAATGGTTTCTGACGGAAAGTCGAGGAACGAGAGGAAAAAAGGGAGAAACTGGCGGCTAGCCGAGGGCTGGAGGGGCGGGAGGAGGTGGGCGGGTGGCGATGGTGGAAGCACGGATAAGGGGTGCGGCCTGTAGGCGCAGGTCGATACTGATTAGTACTTCAAAGCGGCTTGAACGCGAGCCCCACGCGCTCGGCATCGACGGTGGATTTGTGACAAAGCAAGCGCCGGCACTCGAGCAAAAAATCTTGAACAAATTAGCGGATTATGAATTCGCCCGGCTTTGTTTCCAGGAAAGTGGTTGCAGACGCGTATAAGAGACTCGCGACACGAATACGTAGCCAGCCCTCTGTTCCGCCTCTATTTCCGCGCCTTTCGCGCGCCTGTCTACGTGTACGTGGCCGATTTTGCGCGATCACGTGTGCGTAAGTGTCGCTGCAATTCAAATTAGCCTACTACGCTCGTTGAAACCGATACCGAGCGGCCCCAAGACGAGAACCGTGAACGGTTTCTTCCGAGCCTCTTACACCGCGGTCCTGCGCGAGGAGCTCTAGAAAATTTCAGCTCGTCGTTCACCCTCGTGCCACGCCGTTGTAACGTCGGTACCGTGACATTGGCTTGTCGTATCGCGCGAGTAAAGTCCGCGCGAAGAGGGACGAAAGGGGTTGAAAAATCGCGAAGAAGTGGAAGAAGCGGGGACAGAGAGAGAGAGAGTGTGTGTGTGTGTGTGTGCGACGGAGATGGACGCGTGTATCGAAGATATCGAATATGCATACCGGACGATTAATCGATTTACCACCGAGGAAGAAAAGTATCGGCGACTCGTTCGGTGGCTTATGCAACTGCGAGCGCAAATTAAACGAAATTAAACAGTTAATTAAAGTACCGGCACCCCCTGGGAGAAGTTAATTGAGATTCTTGGGAGATTTGTCGCGCGGAATGTCTTAATTTAGTCCCTTAAGCGCCCTAACTCGCCTTAACAACTTAGAATAATTGGATAACACTGGCTGGGCGTACTCATCGTCAGAAGTAGGAAAATTCAGTCTCTCGTCTCCGAGAGGCGTCTCTTTCCTTCTATTTCTTTTTTTTTTTTCTTTTTCTTCTTCTTTCTCTTTTATTCTTCAACTCTCTTCCGGTTTTTCTTAACGCGTCACGATTCACACGCGTACTCCAACTTCCTTCGCGTTAACCTAAACTCGCGTCCCGCGAGAGACATTTT